TACAGAATAGAACATGATCAATATTATCTTGCAGCGTTCAATTTAAATAACTGTAATTGCACAAACTATGTAGGCTACAATTTCAGTTTGTTTATTGTGAAATAACTCTGATGAGCATTGTTCAGGGCTGCCGTTCCCAAAAGCTTTAATGCTTTCTTACGATGCTTTTGGGAAGCGCAGCCCTGTCTGAACGCTCTGTGATGGATCGGTTCTGTCTTGCAACAATCTGTGTGTTCAGATGAGCAGGAAAATAGTCCTATCCTACACAATTACTCGCTAACAAAGGTTATTCGTCCAATTCAATGCATTTGTACGAATGTTTTTTTTGTTAAATTGACAAAATCACTGGTAAATAAAACGCACCTTAGTATCGATATTTTTAGTTTGAGTATCGATACTTTCGATACTCGCGTCAGTATCGATATATCCCTAGGCAGAAGCCACATGTTCGTGATAAACATCTCTGTAGCGTTTAAAATCCCTTTTCGCGATGGAGCCGGTGTCGATACGATACTAAACGATGGGAACTGTGCACTTTGAGTCGGATCTTTCAGAAACCGGTTAGAAACGATTCTTTCACGATCTCGGGCAGTGTTGGGGAAAGTTACTTTTAAAAGTAATGCGTTACAATATCGCGGTACGCCCTGAAAAGCAACGTTACTTAGTTACGTTATATGGAATGCAATGTGTTACGTTACTTTTTAAATCTGGGCAGGGCTTGCCTGTTTGTTTTCAATATAAAAAAAGTTATTTTACAAATAAAGTAAAAGCCCTTTCACAACAGAAGCGCCTCAAAATCAAATCGCGTGAAGAGTATGACGCAGAAGAAAGTTCAACACTATTCAGCAACAACACAAATCAAACACAAATGTGGGATTTGTGCTTATTAGTACGGCTGAACTGGATCGTCGAAGGTCAGAAGCAAAGACATTGCTTAATAGAATGGGATTAAATACATAAATTATATTTGTCTTATTTAACATATTTAATTATTTATTAAATATAATTTACGGGTTGACTGTTTTTATTCGTATAAACCCGTATAAACCGCTCCGCTGTTGCCATGACAACCAGGCGTCGGGAGTTTTCTAGAAAGCGGCTAACGCTAATGACAGCGGCTCGGTCTTCACGTGTTTGCTGTCCAGCTAACGTGAACTAAATCTGACCAGCTTTTTTTATTTAACATATTTAAGTATTGCACGTTTGTTTGTTATTCTGAGTTTGCGTTCGACCGTTTTTATTCATTTTGAGGAACGCTGAATCTGTTTTTGTGCAGGTTTATTTACTCTCGATTTCTCTCAAGACGAGAGCTGTCGGTCAACACATGGGATACAAAGTAACTGGAGTTACCTATTCGAAAAAGTAACTCCGATATTTACTTCTAAATTAAAAAAAACAAATAAACCATTACTTTACCAGTTACTTAAAAAAGTAATCTGATTACTCTCACCCTTTAACCCTCATGATGGATATGATTTCAGAGAAGCATTGCTTTATAAAACACTCAGAACTTAACGTTTTCAACTAAAGTCTGATCAGCGACTTCTCATTAATGAGCGAACGTGAAAAGTTACCTAAGTTAAGTAAAAAAACAGCACCTTGCTACGTGTGCTGCGTTAGACTGACTGAGACAATTGTTATAGCTAGTGTTATTAGTGGGGAACGATCATCTCAAGTAGTGCCAGATCGTTTCCAGCGAATGAAGCGAAGCGCTGTTGTTTTGCAGACGCGCAGAGAAACGTCAGACATCGGCGCTCTGACCAGAGCTGCTGACTTTGTGAAGGCGTTTGTTTTAGGCTTTCAGGTGGAGGTGAGTGGGACCGAGATTAATTCTGTTCAGTAGAGCTGGGGGATATGCTGAGTATTCATAATCAAATTATGCCGATATGTCTTGCCGATAAGAGGAACACGTTAACTCACATGTGCTCCCCCGAGTCCTAAAGCCCGCGCTGTAAGGAGTTTTAATCTGTAGTGGGCGCTGTTGGTCTACTTCCAATTAAATTAAAAGTAAAATAGCCTACACAAATAACATTTAGACTGTGTTTCTGATTAAATAAAGCAGTAATTGATGTCATAAAATCATGAGTATGTTTTGATTTAAAGGTCAGAAGCTATAGCTTACATGAAAAAATCACAAACATGACACTTGTAAATTAAATAATTTGATATATACCGATTTATTCATTAATGTGTAATAGAGGTCGACCGATTAATCGGCACCGATTGTTGATTGGCGGAACTATCGGTTATCGACAAAAATCCATGCCGATAGTTTTCCGGGTTGCGTCCTTTGCTGGAGCGGCTGAGAAGGGTCTGCTGCCATTATACAGTACGAGAGCGGCCTCTAGAGACGGAAATCACTAACAGCACGCCATTCACATAGTTTTCCATTAAATTACATTATATTTGTCCCAAATCATTGTTAATGTAAGTAATGACTTCACCCTAGGCTATAAATTATGTATTGTGCTCTTTCTGTGGCTCTAATACAGTCTTTATGCTTCATATAGAGAGCTGTAATACAGATCGCACTTTCTCTTTCCCTTTGTTCTGTTTTTTTTAAACACCGAACTTCAAACTCATTTATGCCATATTGTTCTTTCTTGAAGCATACTTATGTCCGTTTGGTGATTAAATAAACAGTTTTAGACCGCTGCTGGAATTGAAAGTGGCGCGTCTGGTGTGTGACTTCTCCGAGAACGCATCGCTGCGCTTTTGTCCAGTGTGTGACTTGCATTTTTTATTTTGATTAGATAATCATGCAGTGTTCTAAAATAGAAGCAAATAAAGTGTGAGAGTACACATACAATATCAATAACATATGTATGTAATTTTAATGCTATGGCCTTGTGTAGATATTTAACGATGGCCATATTTAAGCATGACTGTTGAAATTAAATGGTAATACTTTACAGTAAGAGTCCTTTTGTAATATTAATGAAAGCTGTAAAAGTATTGTTCCTAGTGTGTTCATTTCAACATTTACTATTACTAATAGGCTATATTTTTACACTTTAAAGTTTCTTTTTTTAACATTAGTAAACTATGAAATAACTTTAATGATCAATATAATAATTCATATGTTTATGTTTATTCATTTACAAAGTATGGTTCAGTACTGCTACTGCTTTTTTAAAAATAGTAAAGCGCTGGTTTAGTTTTCGTTTACCATTTTAAAAACTATCGGTTGATTAATCGGTATCGGCCGGTGTGGTCCAGCCTAGCTATCGGTATCGGTAAAATCCACTATCGGTCGACCTCCAATGTGTAATGTGTTTTCATTTTTTAAACAAATCATAAGCTCTAAAAGATTGTCAGCATTTTTACAACTCTTTTGCTTTAGACCATCTACAAATGTTAAATCTTAAAATAAAATGTTAGAGTTAACACTGCATCTTTCTGGGGGAAACAAATGCAGCGATTGATATATAGTTTATTTAGTTATTTTCAAAAAAACCTTCATCATTGTTTAATTCTAACAAATAAGTTTTAAAAATATTTTGCTTATAATTTCTGCACAGGAGAGACTTGGTGTTGTTTCCAAACAAAAGGAAATATTTCAGTATCGGCCAAAATTAGTTGAAAAATATCGGCAAAAATCCAATATCATGCATCCCTATTTCTGATTATTATCAATGTTGAAAACTGCCCAATATTCTTGTGGAAACAGTGATGCATTTTATTTTTCAAGATTCTTTGATGGACAGAATGTTCAAAAGAACAGCATTTATTTGAAGTAGAATAATGTCTATAATGTCACTTTTGATTATTTAAATGAGTCTTTGATGAATAAAAGTATTCCCAATAATCCCAAGCCTTTACAAACTAGTGTGCATAAATGTAAAGATACATTGACTGTCATCAGAAAACTGAAAAAATAATATTATATTTATTATATAAATAATATATAATTTTTATTTTGTTATATAACCCAGCCCTTTCTTTCAGTAGTTTACTATTATTCTTATATGGTCTCATTATTCAGAGATGGTGCAGTAATGTCATAATGTGTGTCACTGCACAGGATGCTCTTGCTCTGATCAGATTAAACAAGCTGTTTCTGGAAATGTTTTGAGGTCACAGACGGTGAGTCTTTAACCTCAGCCACTTCACAAGAGTGAGTTTTGTCCAGGCGCTGATTTCTCTGTGCGTGTGTTTGCAGTTAAACCTCTGAAAGGAGATCACTTATCCAGAGCCATCGGCAGGATAGCAGGGAAAGGAGGAAAAACCGAGTTCACCATTGAGAACGTGACCAAAACCAGGATTGTGCTCGCAGACACGTGAGTGCACTCGACATACAGGACCGCTCGAGTGGAAAACCTTCCAATCTTTTATTGATGAATTCCCACTAGAAATGTAACATGTCTCCGTGTTTAATTGGGGCTGGTGATATGATGAATATTCACAATGTATTTGTGTATTTAAAGGTTTGAAAAATATTGCAATATTTTAATGCACTTTTTATTTAGCCAAAAATGTACAGGTGTCATTACATTTAAAAACATTTTATATTAAAAATATATAAATGCAACAGAAACGAAGAGCTACCAAGCCATAAGTTATGTTTTTTTGATATATAGTGACTTTATGTGACTGAATGCACAGTTGATTGTTTTTCTCTATACAGGAAGGTTCATACTTTGGGATCTTTCCAGAACATCAAAATGGCACGAACGGCAATACGCAACCGGATTCCCGGTTAGTGAAAACTAAATTTCTAATGTATGCATCTGAATGAAGAAATAACCAAAATAAGAGGAAATATTTCTGCTTCATGTAACTTTCACAGGAAGTCCTCCATCAAAGGTGTATGGCAACATCCGGGCGGTGGCGAGCCGCGCAGCCGAGAGGTTTTAACACACCGCTCACGGACTGATGCGGAAATAACCGTTTACATTATTAGTGCCGTATTGGCCTGAAGATACGGTGACTGAGCAGTGGAGCTTCACATAATAAACGCTTCATGAATGGAAATCAGACACGTGTGGATCCAATAAATCAAGTTTGACATGTTTATTGTATCAAGCAGTCCATATATATATCCCATAATAGTTGATTTGATGCAGCATGCAGAATAGACATCCCATAACTGACGAGCTTCATGTGCCTTCGTATGAGACACGCTTTCATTTATAAAAAGCTGCAAACCCATTTTCTTGAAGCGCGAGTAACTTGTTAAATCTGCATTCACGAAACAAATGGACAAATGATGCGAGCCGAATCTGAAAAGAATATACGTCTGTTTGAATCTGATTTGGCAACTTATGCAATGCATGTCAAGGTTCTTTTGATATCGGATATAGATTTCACAGTAAACCATTGGAATAGATGAACGTAGTCATGCAAGGAGGAACTAGTCAAAGCAAGCCCAGCAGAAGCCTCATAGCTGGCATTATTACCGACGTAGAATATCCATATGCAGAGATGAATTTGGTTACGCTGCTCCTGTCATGCATGCAAACATTCAGAGTTTTTGATTTGAAGCTCTAGTCTTGTTGGAACGATTATGCTCTCGATTTTACAAGCGTTTAGATGCTTCGTGTATTGCTGTCATGCATGCATTCAGACGTTGATTGTAAGTGTGACACTAGCGTCCAAATAGATTTTGTGATCGCCGCTCCATCTGCGATGGTCATTTAGACGGAGATATTGGTGTTAGTGAAGTAAACCAAATCATTTGTGTCTTGGTAATTATCTACTGGACTGTATAACAATATAAACATTATATCACGGTTGGTACAAAACACTTATTAAACATGGTTAAATGCTAGAATGATATAAATAGTGTAAAATCACAAAGTGTAACAGAAGGAAGCCAACGTTGCTTCTTTACGTCATGCGGTCGAACAAGCTTCTGCACAGGATGGTGGCGAGCGCTTTGTTCTGTAAGTTCTGCTTGGCACGTCATACCTACGTATACTATTATATCATATCTTAAAAAAGACGAAACCAAATAAATATTTTAAAAAAAAGACCTAAATAAATATAGACAAGCCAATACTCTTTCCTCTTGAACCGAGATGCTCTTTCAGTGTCCATAAGCCCATAAAGTGCTACACCAGGTTATCGAGCAGACTGGAGTCAGTTCGGTAACACTTACACGCTGGCTTGACAAAAAGTGGCTTAAATACTTCCATTGAAACACACAGAGAGCATTTGCTGGATATCTTGAGCAGGTCGTCAGAGATGGAGAGGAAAGCGGATCTGCTGGAGATGGACTCGCTCACACATCCACCACCATCTTCTTGTGTATATCCAGGCCTCCGACGACCTGACGACGGAAACAAGAAACGCACGAGTGCATTAACCTGTGAAAATCTCGACATATAGAATAAAACAGCTTTTATTAGGCTGCTCGTGTGACCAGAGTCTTCGTCTGATGTGAACTGACATGATTTTAAACATTAAAATATGCACCGCACCTATAATTTAATTTCCAGTCAAAATAATAATAGACTGAATTTGCAAAAAATATACATATTTAAATATAATAAATATTTGTTATGTTTTTGAAAGAAGTCTCTTCTGCTCACCAAGGCAGTAAAACAGTAATATTGTGAAATACAATTTAAAACAGCTGTTTTCTCTGTGAATCTCTGTTAAACTGTAATGTATTTCTGTGATGCGCAGCTGTATTTTCAGCATCATTACTCCAGTCTTCAGTGTCACATGATCTTCAGAAATCATTCTAATATGCTGATTTAAATACATTTATTATTATTATTATCAAAGTTGAAAACAGCTGTGCTGCCCAATATGTTTGTGGACACCGATACATTTTATTTTTCAGGATTCTTTGAGGAATAGAAAGTTCAAAAGAACAGCATTTATTTGAAATGGAAATCTTTTGTAACATTATGAATGCCTTTACTTGCACTTTGATCATAAAGTAATCCCAAACTTTTACAAACTAGCGTGCAAATATTTCTCTCATGACGCCATGAGATGGTGCATCTATAATTTAAAGTCATTATAAAAAAGCTGTTCAACATAGATACATATCTGGGGTTTGGTTTAAAGGGTCTTACAGCACAGAACTCCTCGAAGGATATTCTCCCATCGCCGTCCTTGTCTGCGTTGATGATGGTCTTGTCCACTATCTGCTGCAGCTGAGTGTCCTTCAGATTGTTGCCCACCATCATCTTCAGCACCTGGAACAGCTCTCCGTTGGAAATGTAGCCGTCCTTGTCCATGTCATAGATCCTAAAAGCGACTGGATCCAGGAAAACGGCGAACGATGACTAAGAGTCGAATGCTGTGTGATGTGAGATCAGAGGTGAAGTGTGTTGTACTCACAGCGCAGTTTCTGCTCCTTATCGCCCTTCACACTGAACTGAGAGACGCCCTCTATGAACTCTACACACACAAAACAACCCATCATTAACCCAGGAACTCAACAAACACACGTGCATTTCCCTTAGTTTAGTAATGTCAAGTCACCTTTATTTATATAGCGCTTTGTCACAATACAGTGTTAAACAGGAAAATAGTGTGTCGATAATGCAAAAGGATAATAGTAAACACTCAACATGTTCAGTTAAAGGCAGTTCATCAGTGATTCAGTATCTGTGCAATCAAGTCGACAATATGTATCTTTTTTCAGTTTTAGTTCTAGTTAAAAGTCAACCTAAATTAAAATGAAAAAATGACAACTAGCTGAAATATGATGTTCAGTAACAGTCGAATGCTGTGTGATGTGAGATCAGAGGTGAAGTGTGTTGTACTCACAGCGCAGTTTCTGCTCCTTATCGCCCTTCACACTGAACTGAGAGACGCCCTCTATGAACTCTACACACACAAAACAACCCATCATTAACCCAGGAACTCAACAAACACACGTGCATTTCCCTTAGTTTAGTAATGTCGTCACCTTTATTTATATAGCGCTTTGTCACAATACAGTGTTAAACAGGAAAATAGTGTGTCGATAATGCAAAAGGATAATAGTAAACACTCAACATTTTCAGTTAAAGGCAGTTCATCATTGATTCAGTGATTCAGTATCTGTGCAATCAAGTCGACAATATGTATCTTTTTTCAGTTTTAGTTCTAGTTAAAAGTCAACCTAAATTAAAATGAAAAAATGACAACTAGCTGAAATATGATGTTCAGTAACACTACTTGAAGCCCTTATGTATAATGCAGGGTTATTAAAGGCTATAATGCATTATAATTGTTCATAATGTGTGTTGTAATACATTATATCTTGTCATAAATAATTATAACCAAATTTAAAATGCATAGTGTAATAATGAATTGGTAAGTGCTATCATGTGTTAATTGCGGTTACAATTATTCATGAGATTGTGCAATGCATTACAAGGTGCATAATTAAAAGCAATGTTTGAAAAACGTGTGTCTAGCAATGACAGAGAGAAGAGAGCGCTCAATAATGCATTATAATTGTTCATAATGTGTGTTGTAATACATTATATCTTGTCATAAATAATTATAACCAAATTTAAAATGCATAGTGTAATAATGAATTGGTAAGTGCTATCATGTGTTAATTGCGGTTACAATTATTCATGAGATTGTGCAATGCATTACAAGGTGCATAATTAAAAGTGCACTAAGCAATATTTGAAAAACGTGTGTCTAGCAATGACAGAGAGAAGAGAGCGCTCAGTTTGAGTGCACAGGACGGATATTAGCAGATAAAAAAAAAAGAGGAAAATATGAGCGGAACAAGCTGAAGGGTGAAGACACCCGTAATATTTCAGTCTTTAAGCTTCTCAGTTGCAAACGGTCGGACGGTTTCAGAATCAGCGTGAGAGAATGTGAATGTTCTCGGTAAAACAACACAAAAGGCTTCTTTTCAGGATGTGATGCAACAGGTCTGAGCTACTTTAAGCTCATTTGTTGAAGCATTTCACAGCTGCAAGTTTGAGTTTGAGTTCATGCACACATGATGTGTGTTTGCATGCAGCTCGCTCAGAGAAAACATTCAATAAAGACAAATTCTTCAATTCAATATGCAATGCATTCAAATCATTACATGGCATCACACATGAATTTCACTAAACTCATCAACACGTGTAGGCCCCATTTCACCTAGCAATCAAAAATGATGAATAAATAAAGAATAAAAACAGCCTATTTTAAGAAACATTCAAATTTAGCATCACAGCATGACATTTCATGACATTATAAAATAAATATAATAGCCCCCAGATTCCCAATTATTCTTACTTTAATAAAAAAAAACGAATTCCCTTTACAAAAATTAAAAATACATAATTATTTAATTTAATATGTCATGGTATTATCTGTTGTACTGCCTTTACACTAGATTAAATTGAAATGTAAGTAATTTTACTGTACTAATGAGAACCACCTTTAAGAATGCAGTCTATTAGAAATAGATCAAAGGTGCTTACTCATCATAAAAGTTGTCACAATGCAAATAAAAAAATAAAATAAAATCATGGTCCTAAAACAGGCTTCATTTGCTGTCACAGAATAACGGTGATTCTGCGGTGAAATGTGACTCGCTCTTGTTATCATGAGATGCATTTAACGAAAGATTTCCGCTTTCAAATAAACCACGCGTGTGGTTTCCTCACCTTTGAAGTCCACCTCTCCGTTGCCGTCCGTGTCGAATATCTCGATGACTCTCTGCACCAGTGGATTCTGCTGTAACTCGGGCAAGGACATGAACTCCTCCACGCTGAGGGATCCTGAGTTATCTAGGTCGAGTTTCTTAAACCTCTTTCCCAGCCTTTTAATCTCATCAGCATCGACTGGCGTGGACCGAGAGAAAACGCCAGACACACACAATAAACACAGAAAAGGACAACATTAGCACACGTGACCAGCGCTCAGCCGTCTGTCTGAGCACAGATCCACCCGATCCAGCCTCTATCTGAGCATCAGCCTAACAACACAACAAATAGCATCAAACGCTGGCAAATGCATGAAGCGTGACACACTCACATCCCGTGACGGGATCCTTGGCTGCCGCTGGCCTTGCGCGGGTCACCACACACAGAGGTTTGCCCATCTCATCGTACCGAAGAGCCATGCGGATCCCTAATAGCACTGCTGAGCCTTGAATATCAAACTCACTCACTCACTGTAAGCTCTTTCAGAACAAGTCACATGACCCTCCAGTCGGCCTCCACAACTCTGAGCGGTTCAGCCGAAGCTAGCGCTCTTTACACCACTGCAAACTCTAAAACATTACTCGCGTCAACATATCTGTATTTTCATACACTGCCAGTAATAATTGAGATTTGTATTGCTTTTAAAATAAGTCACCAAGACTGCATTTTAGGTAGGGTGACCATACGTCCTCTTTTCCCCGGACATGTCCTCTTTTTTGGACCTAAAAAAATGCGTCCGGCCGGGATTTCTTAATCGCCCAAAATGTCCGGGATGACCTGTGTTTCGCTCCCGCGTGTCCACTCCTTTAAACATTCTAATATTGTGTATAATTTTGGCACTTCAGGGAGCCGCTTTCAGGATGTGGAGTATTTCAATTTCTTTTGAATGAGCGTTCGCGCCGTTTACTTTCACTTTCGCGATCACACGCACTCTGTGTAAAAGGAGCACATCTTACAAGATCAGATATTTGTCAGTGAGCTCAGGATCTGTTGAGCAGCAAATACTCCAGCATGGTCTTGTCAGTCATCTCTCCTTATTCTCCACCTGTGATCAGTCAAAGCTGACTCCTGCAGCTCTTCTTGGATGTAGGGTTGCCAAGTCCGTGTTTTTTTTTTAGTGATCGACCGATATTGATATTTTATAACCGATAAATATATCGGTTATACCGATACCACTTATTTGCATGTTTATGTGCCCGATAACCGATATGTAGAACCGATATTTATTTACTGTTATAAAGTAAATAAATGACTGAGTAAGTCCATACTTCACTTTGGTTTTTCCTCCTTTCAGTCATCTTAAAAAAAAAGTGTTGAAAATTACCAGTCTTTCATGTTAAATTTAATCTTCATATTACAATAAAAAAACATTTTATTTGAAAGCGTCAGCAGCAACACTAATATTAACAATAAGCAAAATAAATGTAGAAGGTCTAATGTTTTCAAATGGAGAAAATAAATAAAGGACAGGAGTCATATCAACTTCATTTTAAACTACAGTTTTAGTAGGTTTATAAGATGTTTTAATAGGCTAAAGAGTGAAGAATAATTCACTGGATAATGTTAATTCACTGAATAATATTCTCTGGAATATTGAAATATAACAAACAAAACATCATATTTTATTGCATTTCTCAACCGGCATGTTATATCAGAATTACTAATAATGTTTTTGTCGTTCTAGATTAAGAAACGCCTGCTGACAGCACGGTTTATCTATGCATTTACACAGAACTATACTCAAACTGCGATCGCTCGCGGAGATAATAAATTAGTTTCCATAGAGATGTATTTATTTAGATGTTTATTAGCGAAATAATGATTAATTAGTACTCTAATCAGAAGTAAATGTTAATACAATTTAGGGGTGTTTTAAACAAGTCAATTTTGTTAAAAGTTACATGCGGTGGCCGTGCTGGAGCATTTCCTGAGCAACAACCCGGTGAGTGAACAGCAATATGAAAGCAGCTTCACGAGACTAATGATGAGCAAATATACAACAGAGAGAGAAGTCAATTTAGCATTTTTATTTCCAGCATGTGCTCATTCATGGCTGTATTATTTAATTAATGCAAAGTTACGTCTTTATTGGGAGAGGATGTGACAGATTATCTCCGCCTACATGACTCCACCTTCACGAGACTAATGATGAGCAAATATACAACAGAGAGAGAGAAGTAAATTTAGCGTTTTTATTTCCAACATGCGCCCATTCATGGCTGCATATTATTTAATTCACGCAAAGTTTTTATTGGGACAGGACTTGACGGATTATCTTACGTGACTCCGTGAGTTTGTCTCTATTTCTTCGAGCCAAGCTGCAGAAACTAGCTACATTTCAGGCATTTATGTAACATCTAATATGTGCATTAATGGCTGTTATTAAGTTTACTAATTACAGCAAAGCAAGTACATATGCTTTACCCATGCACGCTGCTGTTGTTGTCTCGTCTCCCCTCAGACGCCGTGCTGCAATGGCGATCCTGCGCACAATTCTCGAAACACCCACAAGATGGCGGCGTTTATCGGTGAATCCAATATTACAAAACCGATAACCGATTATGGTAAAATGCTTAAATATCGGTCAATCGATATATAGTTCGAGCTCTACTTTTATTTTTTGTACTTGCTGATACAGAGTACCAATACCTGTGTGTTCATTGCATTTGTAATTTTTTTTAAATACTGGGTACCTAAACCAAAATAATATGAATGATGTTCGCTGGCTTAGTTCATTTAGGAAATAGATATTTCCTTCAGTTATTTTCACACTTAATTATTCTCATTAAAATGTATTGTACAAGCTTTAGTTACTGTCACTGTTAATTTTATTGCGCTATACTATTTAATAGCACATTAGAGCTGCTCCATTGCAGTGGTACAGTACTGTAATCAAAAATTGTTTTCCTGTAATAATGCAGGGAACCACTCATAAATATTGTAACAGCGATGAAAATATGTTTTTGAAATACATGTTACGTTTGTATCACCTGAAACGTGCTGCGACTTATTACAGAGCCACTCAAATAATGCAATTAATGTCAAGCAAAACATGCGCAATGCGCACACATTTGCATTGGTGAGGAACGAGAGACATGTACAGACTGCTAGCTTCACTTTCACTTTAAATAAATGTGTGTATGCTTGACATTTAAAGTAAATGCTTATAGTGAATGCCCCTATAATTTTTGATTGTTTTATATTTACGATTTAGTTTTAATCCAAATGTGTGCTAAGTGAGCGAACAGCAATAAAGATAATAACAGAAGTGCGCTCTCTCTCTCTCTCCGTCTCGATTTCTCTCTTCTCACAGGAATAGATTACATTTGAACATATATTCACATAGAAAACAGCTATTTTAAATTGCAATAATATTTTACAATATTGCTGTTTTTTTTGTTACTGTATTTTTGATCAAATAAATGCCTTTTTGAGCAAGACGTCTTTCAAAACCATACAAAAAAACCTTGCTGTCCCCAAACTTCTGAGTGATAGTGTAGATGCCAGGTACATCCAAGATATTGTGCGCCTTTTTAATTTGATGGCTGTTATTTCAGCGCTGATCACTTCTGATGATCAGATTCAGCTGTGAGATGATCTCACCTGTTTAAATGAGTTATTCTAGTTTAACAGACTTGTGTTGCCAGGCAACTACAGGTGTGTGGATCATGAAGACCATGATAATAACACTAATACATGCACATCCATTAACTCTGCGCTCAGATCAGTGGCGATGATGAATCACCAGCATTAGCTCAATTGTAATTAATGCAATTACAACCACTGAGGTGACTGTGAGGACTCTGTTAAAAGTGTGACAATCGCAGGAGGTCAAACTATCGATCCATTAGTACAGTGACCTTCACTGAGCGAATGATGAGAGAGAGCACATTATATGTACTGAATGCAAAACTGATGACGAGTAAAACAAAAAAAACACATTGACATTAAATATTACAAACTAACACAACTGTCTCCATCAGGGAATACAAGACTATGGAAGCTTGTTTCCGCCACTGAATAAAAAATAATAAAGTAATTGCAACCTTTTATCTCACAATTCTCTTTTTTCGCAATTGTGCAATCTTTTTTTTTTTTTGAACTGCGAGTTATAAAGTCAGAATTGCGTGATATAAACCTGCAACTGCTGGAATTGCGATCCTGATTTTTTTCTCGCAATTGCGAGTTTGTATCTCGAAGTTCTGAAGTTTTTTTCTCACAATTCTGACTACTTTTCTCAGACTTGTAGGATATAAACGTACAATTGCGAGTTATAATAAAGCAATAAGGCCCGTGAAGCCGTGGTTTACAGTGAATTTATAACAGCTAAGGGGCGTTGTTAGGTACGAGGCGAAGCGTATATTCAATTATACGTAGTAAGGTTTCACAATAAAGTGTAATGATATTAATAAAAACACTATTCTTCCACCAAACAATGTAGTTCCTCAGAAACAGTTGTGGTTGCAACAAAGTAGTTGTCGAACAACACACAGATGTAAACAAAGGTGTGTGTTTGTAGAGTAATTTACAACAGCTTCGAACACGGCTCAGCCAATCAGAATCAAGCACCGGAACAATCCGTTTTATAAAGTCTGATTCTGAGGGAAAAAATTGACTCTTTTCGGTTACACTTTACGTGAAGGGGTGTGCATAAGACTGACATGACACCTACATAATCATGACGTGACACCTACATAATCATGACATGACACCTACATAATCATGACATGACACCTACATAATCATGACATGACACCTACATAATCATGACATGACACCTACATAATCATGACATGACACCTACATAATCATGACATGACACCTACATAATCATGACATGACACCTACATAATCATGACATACTTAATATAATTTGCAAAAAACATGCATAAAACCCCCTTCTTATTCATGACATGTGTCATGTCATGATTATGAAGGTGTCATGTCAGTCTTATGCACACCCCTTCAAGTAAAGTGTTATCCTATTTTCTTACAATTGCGAGTTTATATCTCACAATTCTGATTTTTTCCCCCCCCCTTTTTTATCAGAATTGTGACTATTTCTCAGAACAGTGAGTTTATATCATACAACTGCGAGGAAGTCAGAATTGAGAGATAAATAGTTGCAATTACCTATT